CGTAATAACCTCATATTAATAGTACGGTATATATTGAAAGTTTGAACATGACATTTCTATGGCTATGCATGTGCCTAAAATATTCAGAGATCATCTGGATGTTCATATTTCGGGATGGACACTGCAAAATAATGATTCATGACTTGAGTGAGTATGCTACTAGCAGACTAATAAGTAAACTACTACAACAGTGTATATGGCATTTTCAAATTTCATTTTATCTTTTCAGTTGTCTTGGAGGAAGCAATGCTAAAACACCATGTGCTGCCGGAGAGTATAGCAACTCTGGATCTACATCAAGTGGTGATTGTCAGGTAGGCACCACGATATGAAATATATAATCAAATGTTATGCAATGTATCATTTTCTCCAAAACCATATACAATGTACCGATAAGCTGATTAATTTTATATATGCTGTCCAGCTTTAAGACAAAAACAATGTTTTTGATCAATTTATTTTCTAAAATTAACATGTGTGGGTGAATATTTTTTTTTTCTTCTGAAATTGTTATTTGTTTTATTTTTTAACTCCGCTGTCGACTTTGTCGAGCGGAGCTTATCATATGAGTGATTGTCCGTCGTCGTCCGTGTCAATGTTTTACTTTTTCGACTTCTTCTTGAAAACTACAAGCCTGAATGCTTTGATATTTGGTGTATATGTACCTTGGGTAGACCTTTCTCAGATTTGTTCATTTCATGATGATATCTTCAATTCTCTAATTTTGATGAATATTTTTGTAATTTTTGGTAAAAAGTGATATTTTCGACTTCTTGTTAAAAACCTCAAGTCCAATTGCTTTGATATTACATATATAGATACTACATATGGACCACTCTCAAATTTGTTCATTTCATGATGATATCTTTAATTCTCTAATTTTGATGAATATTTTTGTCATTTTTGGTAAAAAGTGATTTTTTCCACATCTTGTTGAAAACCGCAAATCTGATCGTTTTGATACTATACATATTGTTCATTTTTTAATGATACTTTGTGTTCTTTAATTGAAATGTGCATTGCTAACAGCAGAGCTATCTCAGCCCAGAGGCTGCTTGTTCTAAAATCTTGTCTATATAAATAAAAAAAGCTGTGAAACAATTTTTTTAAAATCCAACCGATTTTTTGGAATGAATAATATGCATGTGAGCTTGCCAAAATGATCTATTGTTACTGCAATCCGTAGTTATCAGACTATATATAATCCCAGAAGCTCTGGGCAATATTCAGGTTCATGTACAATGAAAAAAGTCAGGCAATATGTGACATAACACTGTACTGGGTTTTTTTGGTGATATGCTAGACTATAGACAGTCGGTCGTACCTAATATTAATCTGTTATTATTAATAAATATTGTGTATAATCGTAATAGGTGTGAATTAATTTGCGAACGCCGGGATAGGAAGTATGGAGTGCCATTATGTAAATAAATAGTCGTGCAGATGTCATTTTATCATGGCCAATCGTGAAAAAGGTCAGGGGTCACCTGCTACTAGCATCGCCCACAACTTACGCAAAGTTTGTTTTGACTGTACTATACGTGATCACAACACTTTCCACAGCAGTTTTTGATATCATGTCACAAACAAATCTTCACGTGAACAACTTTGCATGCATTATGTTAATATAATTTATTTCGTGACATCTGCATCAACTATGAATTATTCATATCAACTAGAAACCTGCAGATGGGGACAGTGTCTCGAGACTAAAATCCCTCGCGTGAAATGGTTTGCATTTCCAATCGAACGCCGAATCTAAGAAGCGCAATTACATTAGGTCCGAGGACTGTCGACAGTCTGGTGATACGCTTGTGATATTGTCCAATAATATATAGTTGTTCTTTAAATTTATCTTCAACCTTTGATTACAATTCTATATGAATTATGTTGTAATAATAATCTTTACTGAAACCGTATCCCAATTTTCGATCTTGATAATGAGAACAATGAAGTAGCAACAACAGAGAGAAAAAAACACTGATAAGATGAACAAAATAAACAAAAATATGAAAAACAGAAAAAGAATGATTTGATTTCCTCATGTTGGCATTTTATGATTTTGTCATTCTGAAACAAGTGTGGATGAATTGAGCTAGGTCCAATGATTGTTTAGTTATTTTTACTTTTTAGCAGACTGTAAACTGAAATTAATTTTTGTAATAATTTTTTCTTGTTTCTTCTTGAGTAGGTTGCATTCTGAGGAAAAAATGTTTTTCATTTTAAATTTCCTGTTGATCACAGACTATTCCAATCAATTATGGTGATAACAAGAACTGTTTTTTTTCTTTCTTCAGACATGTCCTTCAGGTCAATTCAGTTCTGCTGGGTCTACATGTCTACCATGTCCTGCTGGGTTCAGTTGTGATAGCAGTACTGGAATAACAACATCATGTACTGGGACTCAATATTCATTAGATGGTGACGTGGCATGTAATGCTTGTCCTAGTGGTTATTATTGCCCATCAACATCACAGCCGCCGCAGGTACGTTTTCGCAATAAATATGTGGTACAATTTAGTTTTTTAATTTGTTGTCTCTCCTGGCTTTTTTGTATGCAAATTACCAATTGTTCTTTTTATTTAGTTTTGTCCGGATGGTCATGTTCCATCTGCCGATCAGACAACTTGTGATATATGTACGGCTGGAAACTATGCTTATAATGTAACATCTTTATGTCAAACATGTCCTGCAGGTGAGTAATAAGGAGGGGGTACTAGTGATTGGTAGAATAGCATGAGTGATAAACATTGCATTTACTGGTATAGATTGATAGCTATTTCTGTCTTAGTATTGCCTCCCTCCAGATTTTCTGTAAAAAAGTTTGTAAAAAAAAATTGCATTGGTTAAAATAAAATATATCTATAAAATGACCTGCTGTACAAATATTTTGATATCACAATTGTGTGATTTCATTTACAATATTACTGCTCACCACATAGCCCTTGTTCCATGAACTCTAAGTGATTGCATACAACCCATGATACCATCAGTGTCAAAAAACTCCATGAATATTGAACACAGCATAGCATGCTATAATTATATTACTGTCCTAAGTTAATTCTGATATTTTTTAAGCTTGGAAAACTAAAACCATAATTTACAATATTAAAATGTGTACTCATCAGAGAAAATATGTTAACTCTTTGAACATCCACATTTTACCTGCAAGAATTTTTTAGCCATATTTTAGACATTTTTATGTATTTTTCTAAAATTTATTTGTTAATTTTGGATCAAGTTGACATGTTTTTACATTGCTTACAAATCTAGATCTTAATTTTTGAAAAAAATTGAGAAAAATTATTTGGGTTTAACTTAGTGAATGATGACAAAAGTTTAATTTGGAACTCAGTGGGTTAATGTAGGATACTTTATTATCACTTGGAATTAATTTTCACTATTTTCCCTTTGGAACTCAGTGGGTTAATGTAGGATACTTTATTATCGCTTGGAATTAATTTTCACTATTTTCCCTTTGGAACTCAGTGGGTTAATGTAGGATACTTTATTATCGCTTGGAATTAATTTTCACTATTTTCCCTGAAGGAATGATTTAGTTAAAATAAAATCAAGTGAATATACCTTTTTTCCTATATTTTACATTCAACTTGTCAAAAATCAGTGAAAATAAATTTCATACAAAACACCTAAAAAGTCTTTTCAGCGAAAATTAATTCCAGCTAAAATAAAGTATTTCACAGTAATAGAAGTCACGTATGTTATGTGTGTACAATGTGTAACATTGATAATGTTGCTGCCTTCATTATAGGTTATCATTGTCCAACTGATGGTATGAGTTCTCCTGAAGAGTGCCCTACAGGTTAGTGCCATTGTGTATATCAATGTTATACTCAATCACAGTCCCTCTATCCCCGGTCTAGAAACGGTCATTGTATTAGGTGTGAATTGGTCTCCTTCCCTGGCAAAGGCGCTTTGCGGGTGTGGGCAAAGCATTGTCACCTGATCAGTATGTGATTTGACATCGTCAGTGTTATGTATTTTTTTACAACTTAGTTGTTTATTCCAGAATTCGTACTTTTTCACATAATTTTTAATCAGGATATCTGTATAAGGTCATATTTTAGCCAGCGAGTAGTTCTTTAATTCATCTATTTTACCAGCAGCGACACATTTTCGCATCAAATTTTCATACCTTTACCCAGATATTTGTCGTTTTTGATTTTGGGGTGATTGAAATTAACTCAATTTTATTTACCATACTTCTCGGCGGGAAACCAATATTTTTCTTCGATTTTGACATTTTATGATCGAAACATATCATTAAAAATTGGTGGGCTGATTTGTTATTTGTCACACCGCATTTTATTAATGTTAAATTGAGCGACTTTTATGGATGCTTTTTAGATCGTAAATGCAAATGGCGACGTTTTGAAATGACAATGTACTCAATTCTGTGCTAAAAAAAAATCATTTATATACAAACATTGAAGCATTGTTATATACTTTTGTATGGAATAAAGTCATTAGTTGTTTTATAGTTGACTTGAACTGTTATGAACCCCCCAAGAATCAGAAATATGACAGGTTTTTCGATCGACTACGTTAACATGAACGACGCCATTTTGACAAGATTTGTTTAGCGATGTCAGGCATGTTGGCACGCGAAGTTTTTTCCCTATTAAAATGAGAAAATGAACATAATTCCCGATATTAATCTTTGAATTGCAGGAACTGGATGATTATGAGTTGGTAGGCTGGTTGTGATGCGTATCAGGGTTCAAAAAACCCAAATTTCATAGTGATAATTTTGTTTACATGTTTGTTTACGTTGTGGTTGCCCGAATTTGAAGTCAAAGTGAAGTCATACAATGAGGTATCGCTTTGCATGATGGTAACTTTTGAAGGTATTGTAATCTGTCTGACTTCCTGACTCCCTCGGCCCGCGTGTGAACGGTTTGTTTACCCGCACTGCAGTTTGAGACAAAAGAATGCTAGTCGTTTCCAGACCGGGGATAGAAGGACTGTGACTCAATATACCTCTCATTGTCCATGCTGATATAATTTGCTTTTTTACTTGACACATTTTAGGCTGGTATACAAACACAGCAGGTCAAAGTTCATGCACTGAATGTACTGCTGGTTTTTACTGCACATCAACAACACAGTCAGCTTGTGCAAGTGGTTATTACAGTTTATCAGGAAGTACATCTTGTACACAATGTCCAGCTGGTTATCAATGTTCTGATGCTGGTAGTTTACCAGTTATCTGTACTGAAGGGTATTACTCATTAGTTGGTAGTACAGAATGTACACAATGTGAAGCTGGATATTATTGTCAAAATAATGGAACAGAAACTCAGTCACAATGTGCTGAAGGTACTTATGAACATGATAGTATGGCTGTATTCCCCTATAGAATAATAGAATAGTCCTGAATTTGTAAGGTACTTGTAGATGTGTTCCCTTATGTAATAATAGAATAGTCATAAACTTTTATAGGTACTTATTACATGTAGATGATACCCCTTCTCCATAGAATAATAGAATAGTCCAGATTTATAAGGTAATTGTAGATCTATACTCCCTATGGAATAATAGAATATTCCTCAAGCTGTAAACCTATTTGTAGATGTATACCCCT